TCACATTTTATTTTTTTGCGTCCCAACCAAGCCCCTGAGCAAAAAATGCCACTCTTGCTAAAACATCCGGGATCCCACAGGGCACCTAGACGTGATCGTCCGATACTTCTGGCTTGAAGCGTTTGGGCACAAATGGCAAAAACGTGTTTTTTAAAAAAAGCTCAATATCTCGAAAACCAACCGGACTGGAAGACTGCGGGGCACACCACTGGATGGCGCAGTACAAGGGGCAGAAAAAAGTCGGTATTCACTTTTCCTCTAAAACAAACGCGAAGCGAGCTACAGCCGATTTTTGGATTTCCCCCCAATTTTCCCGCAAATCTGGGACATTCTGCCATGTTTCAACTGCGCAATTTTTGGCGAAAATTCCCCTCAATAGCTCTAAAAAAACCCGATGCAAGCAAAATCGCGCAAATTCAATGCAGAATATTCGAAAAATCGCCATCTTCAGGGTTGCCCAGGGTTTAAGGTTGGCTTCCCCCCCGAAGCCCCAACGCCCCCCATTACCATCACATGCCGTGATACGCACCCGACGAAACACCGTGCCCCAAAATGGGGGCATTTGGGGAAGTTGCGGCGGTTTAAAGGCTGCGCCCCTATAAGAGCCAGTGCAGAAGGCCCGGTTTTCCCCCCCTGAGTCAGCCGGGGAGGTTCCCCCAAACCCCCTAACCACTTCGGGGAGTGCGCTTTGTCCCTAGCTAAGGCCCAGTGAAGGAAAACTGGGCCAAATCCAAAAACATTTTTTTCAAAAATTCCCATTTTATCGGTTTCCCCCCAAACTGGGCCCCCAATGGGAAAAACCTGCTCTTGGCAAAAAATCGGGGCGCCCCCAGCGCCCCTCGCGGGCACGTTTGCAAACCCCCCCCCAAGCAGTTTCGGCAACAGGGCCAAAAAAGCGGCCCACTCGTGCAAAGTATCGATACCAGAGCCCCGCTCTACTCCAATCAAGTCATCGGGTTCTTCGGCTGTGACGCGCCTCGCGCGTCACAAGAAACAAAAGCCGGTCGCGCTTGAACCCGCAATCTGGGCCAGCCTTGGAACCCCCCGGGTCCCCCTAGGGGAACCCGATCGGGTTCCGAGCGAACCAGCGGTTCGAACCGCGCATTACCTGAGCCAAACCCGGGGGGGGCTAATCCAGTGGCAGCGTGCGAGTCATGAACTCGCACTAATCCAGTGGCGCACCTGCAAAAATCAGCAGAAAACCGGCACCGCAACAGGTTCGATCGCGAGCGAGCAAAGAACTGGCCGGTGGAACCACTGGAACCATCAGGTTCCGCATTTGCGCCGCGTCTTCTTGCAGACGCTGTCCTTGTCGCACCCATGGGGGCGGGGGCACTACGCACCGCAACCAGTCCAGTTAAGTGCACCGCACTGGACTTTTGCCTGTTGTGCACTTTTCCTGCGGCGCGAATGTAAAAATAGCCGGAAAAAAACGCAACAAACCTGTCCACTAATCAGAACATCGGCGGCGAAGCGCGCTTGGAATAGCGAGCTTTTGTGGTTCGCTGTCTACGAGGTAGAATGTCGTTGGGAGCCGGTCGGCTTAGAGCTGGGGGGAATCGGGGCGCGCCACTGGATCGAGCCGGGCGACCGGCACAGGAAAGGTGCTTTGGAGTTTGGCGCTAAAGCGCGCCGTTTGGGAGCTACGGGCGTTTTTTTGGGGCCCCTAGGGGCCCCAGCCAGCCGCGGAGTCGGTGGGGATGTTTTATTTGTTTGCGCCCCAACCAGGCCTCCTAGCGAAAAATGTTGCTCTTCATAAAATGTGTCAAAGACAGCGCGCTCTACGCCGATCATCTTTGCAGAGCACTACAGTGGCTGGTTTGGGAGAAAATGGCCAAAAACCTTGTTTCATAGAACCCGGAAAAACTCCCAAACTAAACGGCGCAGGACACTTCCGAGGACGCCACTGGATAGACGAGGACAAGCGGCACAAAAAAGGTGGTATCCACTTTTTTGCTCAACTGCCCAATAAGCGAGCTAGGGCAGGTTTAAGGTTTGGCCCCCAATAGTTTGGGGGGAGTTTTCGAAACTTGCCCCACTGGAACTGCGTCTTGCCAAATTTCCACTCAACTCTCTTGCAACAGCACCAAACAGCCAAAATTCCCCAAAATTTTCCCCGAAATTTCGAAAGCCGCCATCTTCAAGCCACACAGTGGTCCAACTAAGCACACTTTCATGTTTCCTGCTAAAACAAAGCGTGCAATCGAAAAACGCCACTCTTGGTAAAACATGCAGTCGATCAAGGGCCATCTAGCGGCGATTGTTCCACAGCGCCCCACGAAGGGTTTGGGAAAAAACGCCCCTAAACCAGTAAAAAAAAATTATAAAAACGGCCACATCTAAGCCCTGTACTCGATGGCGGAGGTCAAAAGGAACAGAAAATGTTCTATAGAGTGTTGCTGTAAAGTCATTAGTTTGGGAGCTAGAGGGTTTTTTTTGAGGCCCCTGAGGGTTTTGGCCGGTTAGGGCGTCAGAGGGAACGTTTTAATTGTTTGCGCCCCAACCAGGCCCGCTATCGAAAAATGTTGCTCCTGATAAAACCTCCGCAACATTGTGTGCTACCCAGTAGAATTTTTTGCGGGGCCGTCCAGTGGCTCGTTTGCGCCCAACTGGCCAAAAACCGTGTTTTCCTTAAAACCCAAAAAGCTCCCTTACTGAAACCACCACGAAATTTTCGGAGACTCCCCTGGATAGACGAGGACAAGCGGCACAAAAAAGGTGGTATCCACTTTTTTGCTCAACTGCCCAATAAGCGAGCTAGGGCAGGTTTAAGGTTTGGCCCCCAATAGTTTGGGGGGAGTTTTCGAAACTTGCCCCACTGGAACTGCGTCTTGCCAAATTTCCACTCAACTCTCTTTCAACAGCACAAAACAGCCAAAATCCCGCAACATTTTCCCCAAAATTTCGAAACCCGCCATCTTCAAGCCACACAGTGGTCCAACTAAGCACACTCTAATTTTTTCCTGCTAAACCAAGCGTGCAATCGAAAAACGCCACTCTTGGTAAAACATGCAGTCGGTCAAGGGCCATCTAGCGGCGATTGTTCCACAGC